TGAGTGTGTGTGTGTGTGTGTGTGTGTGTGTGTGTGTGTGTGTGTGTGTGTGTGTGTGTGTGTGTGTGTGTGTGTGTGCGTGGGTCTTATTAAGGGATGTTTCAGCACACCTGGCTGAATAATCTTTGCTTTTCTATCATGTCTGTGTTGACAGCTGCCCGTCTGTCTGCCGGGATGAGATTAGCTGTCTGCTGTGTTTACTCTGTGGTCATCATTAATTCATCTGCTCATCCTGTATCGATCTGCTCCCCCATTCGGCTAATTACGCCACACGTTTTACCTTCACAGAACCCCTGCGTGTGTCGGGCCAATTAGACGGGCCGGATATCCACGCAGTAATTACGACTCTCTCTCTCAGATAGTGGGATGAGATGATGTCTGATTCACTGCTCACCTTGCAGAACTGACATCATGTCTTCCGTTGCAACAAATGTTGACACAAACATGCTGAATAGATGCTGGATCAATAGATGTGGTCAAGTTGCCAGTGCTACTTTCTTAGCTTTGATGCTCATTTGAGAGCTCTATGAACATTTTCTCAAATCTAAAGTAGTAAAAAATGCATTTCATTCATTTTTCCCCTGATTTCTTTTTGTGTGTTTCTTCCCTCGTTCTTGAGCTGAATATTGAAGCTTTATGTCAGGTTAAATTCAGTTTCTGATGAAGCAATCCTTCTGATTTGCCAGTCAAAGTAAAGACAACATTTCAAGGTGATGTCTGGAGTAGGCAGTGACTCAAGAATGCCTTATTAAAAGCTTGAAATATATTTGAAATATGTGAAAAAAAGATATTTCTTAAAAAGAATAAACACTATTGAAGCAGTTTTGTTTTAAAATAACATGCAACATCAAACTCAACATGCAGGAATCCTTTTTTTTGTCACGTGACAGGAAATCCATATAATTTCCCTTAAACACCCTTAAAGTCAAAATGCTTCTTGATCAGTAAAATATATCACAAACATATACTTTTGTCATATTTTTTTAAATAATTAAAAAAAATTTTTTTTTAAAGAAAAAGTTCTAAAGAAAGTATTGTATTACTTTTTACTTGATGGTTACACCACTTCATATTTTAAAGTCATTAAAAAAATGTTGAAAAGGGATATAAAAGCTTTTCTGAAATGTTTAAATACAAAAGTGAGGTTTATTTGCATAGCACTCTTTACATACACATAGTTTAAAACCGCTTTACTGAATGAATCACTATGAATTGCAAGAAAAATATTATTTTGTTCTCTGCCATAGTCACCTCTGGTTTGCAGGCAAAGAACAAAATAATATTTTAATACAGGAGAAAAAAATCTTGAGAGAAACTAGGCTACACTGCAGGCAGTTCTCCTCTGGCTATACAGACAAAACATAATGTCAGCATTAGATGTCTGTTACTATATTGTTTGAACTGTGAGAATTGGGTGTCTTTGAGCTCATTCAGGGTTTACAGATAACACAGACATTGGTTTATCAACAGTCTTGGAGTGGCAGCAGTTTGTCCTTTACGTGGAAGACTGAAAGGCCATGTAAGCAGTCATTGAGTTTAGACGGGCACATGCATTTTAAATGAGATTTATCCTTTTCATCTCAGTCATAGATTTGACTGACTTAAATAGGTTGCTAGTAACTTTGGGCTAGTGACTAATTTGCTTGGTTAAATTAATATCTGGTTGATAATAATCTACTTAAGAAACTTACTTTTTCATTCTGATTTATGGTACAAAAACATGTGATGTGAACAAACACCATATTTAATTTGTCTTGCTTGATATCAGTGCAGCCTTTGATACAATGCATAACATGATTCTCATGCATTGACTTGAACAATCAAAGCTGGTTAGACTGTCTATAGGGTTTTTCCCCCACAGAAAATTTTATTTTTTTGTGGAGTCCCACAGGGCTCCGTTTTAGGACCTCAGTTGTTTATATTGTATACAGTATGTGACCTTTAGGTAATGTAAACAGGAAGCATGGGATAAACTTTTAGAGCTATGCAGGTGATACACAACTGCTTATTTTCAAACCTTCTGAAATGCAGAAATCTGTAAACGGCCTGACATGTTACTTGTTATATACTTCAGAATGGATGTACCATTTAAGTACCGTTTTATTGATTGTGAGTGCAAACATTGAGAGGAATTTAACTTTGTTTTAAACATAATGTTTTGTCTTGTCATCTGTTGTGAATATATTATTCATTCCTTTCAGATTGCAGAGGGCTACAACATGAGCATCCCAATGCCAGGCCACCCAGTGAACTTTTCCGAGCTGACAATGGCTCAAGCTTGGCAGGATGTGGAACAGCTGGAGAAGCTTATCTCTGAAAACGATGTGGTCTTCCTGTTGATGGACACTCGTGAGAGCCGCTGGCTTCCGACAGTCATCGCTGCTAGCCAGAGAAAGGTAGCTTCCTCCCTCCAGTCTTTCATCCTGCATTTATTTATTTATTTTCTGCTCACATGGCTGCCTGCCTTTTTATTGTAGGTTATTGTCACAGTTGTTGGTAAGTGCTACACAGAGTTTGTCCTGTATATCTGATTTAAGAACCTTTAACTACAAATAACCCCTGCCTGACATAATAGGATTTTTGTGTATTTTCAGGACTTTATTCTAAAATAGGCATGCTGCACATATGTATGTTTGTTATAAATGAATACACTAGCAGTGTATTATTATTTCTGTTATTTATAAATAAATATATATTTAGAATTTTTTGATCATATGACTTAGTCTGTATGTAATTGCATAGTAAATACTGTAACTTCTCTTTCTTTTATTTTTAGATTAGCCACAAATGAGGGTTCATCACTAAGATCAAATAAAGCAATTCATGAACTTCAGCAAACAGTCTTTCTTTTTTTGTTGTTGTTGTTTTATTCCCCCAATGCTAAATGGGTTCAAGTGAAAACTAATTATACTCTATACATAATAATGAAACTAATAAACAAAATCAAAACCTGGTCCTTGATTTTACACCAAAGAAATAGTCTTTTAGTTCTTATCTGAGACATGATGATCCATTCCGTGGCAAAAATGAGTTATTCTTTCCTCAGAAAAACATTGAGTGCGTTGAAATATGTTGATCTGCTTTAGCATGGACAACTCCGACTAGCATATGAAAGAGCCTCCACAAAGGAATCAAACACAAAGGCATATCCACTCCAAACAGTATTCGAATGAACACCGTTACAATTAGTTATGTATCCAACCACAGATTTGGAAGTGAAATGATATGAAAAGGGAAAAAGTCCTT